ACGGCCATCCCCATTCGGGGACTGTTATCTGAGGCAAGCCCGAATAACTCGGGGTAACAACCCACTGGGAAACACTCGAACTAAAAGCAACAGCCATAAAAAACGGCTCGGAGACGTTCGATACCCGTAACAAAAAAATACCTTTAAAATTTCATAACTGTTTCTAAACGCTATCTTCGGCAAACTATAATCTAAAAAATCATAAGTACTTTGGGAAAAAATATTTCTAGTCATACCGAACCCCCATGATGCCTTAAACAAAATAATGTCAAATGCAAGGCTTGTTCGAACCTCTGAACATGACCTAACTATTTTATGCTAAGGTATTTCGATCTTTGCAAACATAAAGAATAAACCAAAGGAAAATAAAATTCTTAAACTGTCGAAGGGAAAAACAAGCCTTGTATATTATAAACAGCCTTTATAAAGGACAAATGGCCTTAACAAAAAATACTAAAGTACACAAGTACAAAAAACTAAAAAGAAAATGTTTTTTACAAAGGCGCCTAAATAGCCTGGTTTTCCACCCCCGGTCGGGTCCATCGGAACCCTCAGAGTCTTCTTCTTCTTCTTCTCTTTTTCTTCTCTTCTTCTCTTCTTCTTCTTCTTCTTCTTCTTCTTCTTCTTCTTCTTCTTCTTCTTCTTCTTCTTCTTCTTCTTCTTCTTCTTTGTAGGCCAACTTCTTGGCCTCGGCCTCGAGCCCCTTAGCGATTTCAATCTCGGCTGATAGATCGTAACCCCAAGCATGAATCTCCTCGAGGGCCTCTCTTTGCCACTGCCGCTTCTCATAATCAACAATGTCCTTCAAGCTGTCCTGGACCGCCTCGGCATCAGCCTTATATTGCGCCAACATTTCATCGGCATCGACTTTAACCACCAAGGCCGCCGACTTGTCCGTTTCAAGCTCCTTGGCCATAATTTTTTGCTCAGGGGCGGCCGAGCTTAGCTGAGACTAGAGCTCTTCAACCTTTTTGGCCTGCACCTCGACATTTTCTTTTACCGCTTGAAGCTGGGCCTCAGCCGAAGCTAGTTGCGCCCGAGAAGTCTCTTTTTCTGAGGCCTGGCGGTCCATCCCGCCCCTCCATTTGTCGGTCTTGGCCTTGATAACATCCATTTCAGCTAGCAGTTGATCGACCCAGTCGATTTTTTGTTGGACCTGTGTATTTCGACCGTTAGTCACCAAGTCTAGTTCATCATCACTAACCTTAAAGACTTTTACCTCTTCCACCAGAACGACATGTTCTTTTTGAGCCGCGTCCAACTCGTCCCGAAAACTCTTGGCCTCTTCCTCGCGTTGCTCACTAGGAAGTTTATACATATCTCTCTTCTCAATAAGCGCTTTGGCTTCGTCCTTGAGGAGACTCATCTCTTCTTGATATCGGAGGAAGGTCTTGTGGTGAAGCACCGAGGCCTGCGAGTACAAGGAAAAATATTGAGATCATTAAGTAACCAAAGCTGGAAAATGAAAAGGTTTGGTAACACCTTACCCGATTCAATGCATGTTGTGCTTCATTGAATAAGCAAGGATATTCCAACTCGTTCATATTTTCCTGGTCTTCTTCAGTATGTAACTAGCTACCCAACAGACGAGGAAAGGACCCGGGCATCCCCCGGAACAAAGATAATGATCGACCACTTTCAACCGAGATCGACACTCGGGGCAGGGAATAAATTGACCAATCTCGGGCTCAAGCTAGACCCACTTGTTCCAGAGGGCAGACTTCTTCTTGGTACTTCTAAATCACCCAATCCAGTGACATCCTCCGTGGCAATAGAGTCTACACCATCAAAACAGCTTTGGGGGGGGGGAGTTTGCTCCTTGGACCCCCCTCATTTGAACGCTCCTTCGCTGCTTGAGCTTCACCAAACATTGAGTCCGTGAACGAAGTCGATCCTGTTATATGGATGTCACTGGGTGGAGTAGAACTGGTGTCTTGAGAGTTCTCGACCTTAACTGATGCATCAGCCTCTTGAGTTTGGGAGGGATTGGCCTCTATTGTTCCCCCTTCGGTTAATGCCTGTTCTTTAGTGAACGATGGCTCCCGGGCCACTAAAATTTCATCCTCTTCACACTTGTCCCTGATCCGATAGAGGGAGTCCGAATCAAGTATTTGAGAGCTGGAGGTTTCTTTTGGCTTGCGGATCAGCCTTCTCCTTGGTTTCATTTTCTCTGAGCTCGGAGAACTCGAAGCTCTTCTTCTCTTCGCCCTGTTTCAGAGCAGTGGACTCATGGGGAAATCATCACTACCGGAGATGGGCCTCATTTGGACATCATTGGGTAAACCTGCAAAAAGAAATAAAACAAGTAAGGACTTAATCATGCAAAAGGGAAACCAAATATTACTCATGAAAGAGATCTCACCGTGCGAACGGGCCTCTCATCGGCTCTTTGAAAGCTTGCGGCACGAGCGCTCGGAATAAGGCCTTTGTGATACGATGCCCTCTACCCATTCCTTGAGTCGAGGAACTGTGCTCGGGATCCGAACAACACCTGCACCATCACAGAACACCGGTAAGAAGAAAGGAAAAGGGCGATAAATAAAATCTTGGAAGCAAACTTATATACTTACGTGACATGTTCCACTTCTTAGGGAACGACATGTGCTCGGCCGGGATCAAGTCCGAGGTCCTCACTCATACGAAATGCCCTAGCAAACCTTGATCCCTATCTTCATCGATACTTGAGAATGTGGCCTTACTGGCCCGACAGGAGAGCTTGATCAGTCCCCCCCGGTAGCGTTAGGGACTGTATAAACGCATGAGGTGGTCGATGGTGAAAGGGTACCCTTCGATCTTGCTTACAAAAAAACAGAGGAGCACTACGATCCTCTAGAAAGAAGGGTAAATTTGACCGAGGTTTACATCGTATATTTTGCAAAATTTGACGATAACCGGGTTCAAGGGGCCCAACGTGAAGGGATAAGTGTAAATACTTAAAAATCCCTCGACTTGGGTGGTGATGGCTTCATCCGGTTCGGGAACCACCACATGTTTTTCACCCCAATTACAATCCATTTTGACTTCGGAGAGAATATCCTCGTTGATCGAGCAGACATCCTCATACTGGCTTGGTACGGAGAAGGGCTTTTCTTCTTTAAAATCAGCATTGGTCGGGCACCCTTCCAAGATGAAATTTTTTAGAGAAGGTTCCGGTGCTGGTTCCTCGACAGCAGTACATGAAGCGGTCTCTTCGGTAGCCGGCCGCGAGGTAGAAGATGTTTCTTTTTGGGGAACGATTTTGGAAGTTTTCGCCATTTCTTTATGGAGAGTAAATAAGGAAAAAGAGGAAGTTATAAGAGTACACTCGATGGTTTGAGATAAAGACGAATGAGAGTTCTTTTAAAAGATCTCAAAGTAATGAGAATATAAGAGCTTGGAAGTGTTGAAATTTCTTAGGAACGGGGGCAGAAAGTTTGAATGTAAAGTTTGAATGAAAAAATGAGGGGGTATTTATAGTTTTCCAGCGATGGTTCACATCTAGGAGTTGGCCAGCAACTGACAAGCTTTTAATGCCATTAAGACTTGACTGACGAGACGTTTCGTCTGTTTTCTCATTTCTATCACGGGGTATCGAAGACAGGATCAAAAGCTCATGTTGTTTCTCGTCATCTACTCTCCAAAAAATGAGGGGGTCTATCTATACACAGTCAAAATCAAGCTCACTTACTACATGGTAGGTTAGGCTCGGAACATGACAACCAAGGGCTGAAGATCGATCTCGCGAGCATCGAGTCCCACCGAGCTAGGACCCGGGGTCAGAACGTCTGTATTCGAGAACATCGAGTCCGTGATCCCGAAGTCAACTTAGCCCCGATCGAGCTCGAAGAAAAATTGTTAGCATGACCAACAGAAGACCAAAATATCCGTGATCGGTTGAATATTACAGCGGGAATCTGAGGGCGTATAAGTAAGGAACCGACAATTAACTAATCAAGGGATTTTTACCTTTTATAGAATTGTACCTAAAATAGAATTGCTCTACTATATAAAAGAGGCCTGAAAAATTATTGGCGATATTATAACACGCATCCAAAAGCAATACATTATTATTATTTCTCTTTAAGCTCTTGTTCTTCTGTATCCTCACATTGATTGAAGCGTACCTGGCTCGAGGGTGGCTTCCAAGGTTGATATTATTCAATTCGTGTGGTTTACATGTACTTTGTCATTATTTATTTCAATTGCGATCTAATTTATCATTTTGTATCAAGTTAGTCCACGTATCCTTAAAACCACTTACAAATTCAATTGTTATCCGATTTTAAGGGTAAACATAACCCTTTCTCGGACCCTACATGAATGCGGTATGACTTGTGCACCAAGTTGCTTCTATATTTTAATTTTCCTTAGTGAATGTTCTGATGCCATCACTAGTATCAAGCACTACCGATTCTACTAGCTCTAAGTGGAAATTAATCCACTACTAGCGAAGCACTAACTTGAGGTTCCCTTTCTTTTTTCCTTTTCCAAATTACTCTACTCCACTTAAAATCAAAACCAACACCAAAACAAGCACTTCCTACATGATTAAATATATCCACACGAGGCCACATCTTTGTAGGGATTAGGGGTGTACATGGGTCGGGTTGGTTCAGATTTTTTAATTATCAAACCAAATTAATTGTATCGAGTTATTAAATCTAAATACCAAACCAAATCAATAAAAGTCGGGTTTTTTAATCTCGATTTTTCTTGGGTTTTTCGGATTTTCTTTCCATAAAGTCTTCATAGCATAAAACTTAAAATTTGTGCTCCAAATATTTCTTTAATCCTAGTAAGACAGAACTATATACGGTATTTTTCAATAAAATAACATAAATATAAGATGAGTCATGACATTGTACTAAAATATTCAACAATAAATATAATAAAATCGTATAAAATAAATATTATTAATAAGCCAATATTAAAACAAACGTAATTTAAAATTATGACTAATAAGTACTATTATTTACATGTAAGATTATTCAACTCAACATGTAAAATGTCACCATCTTTTCCCCATCCTGAGTGCATCATAGTAGGACCCCTAGGTCGCTTAGATTGCTCTTCATTAGCACTAGAGTCTGCAATAACCAAATATAAAAAAGAGAGTCATCCATAATTAGTAAAACTCAATTAATTCTTCTTTTTCTTCTTTTAAAAATTCACATATAAACACTCCATTAATACCAAGGGATTAGAATAATAGAGTGATAGAGGAAAAGCTGCCAGAAATGAATTCTTTCCTGGATAACGTATCTGCTAGACTATTAGATGCCTAAGCTAGATCCATTAAACATATCTTAGCGATAACGTTGGTGTGCTCACAATCTGTCTCATGTTTTCAATTTGTATATGAAGAGCTAAGTGTAATTGGCCAATGCACTGCAGAAGATAGCTTCTAATAGCAAAGCAGGTGCTACCTTCATAAGAACAGAATATAGGTGTCTCCACATTCATGATACTATTTGTATGTTTAAGTGGTGTTTCTGCTTCTGTGGGGGACTTATAAGTATATTGTTTTAGGAACAATGATAGAGATGAGTGGTCAAGGTACAAGTACTCTTGGTGGATTTGCTTGAATTGATATTTTATATTTAGGTCTACTTGGTTGCTTGGGAAAAAGTGTACAAATACACAAAGTGTAACTATTCAATAAAGATAAGATATTATACAGAATAAGTACCTAGGAAATTTTCTGTTTCATGTGAATCATTTCTTGATTTACCGGATCGGATAGCCTGTCCTTCATTTTGTGGCCAGTTTTAAGGTGGTTGAGGCATCGCCGCATCTCCCATTTGTTCTTCTTGTTGCTCCGAAAAATCAGGCAGAAGTATTTCTTGACTGGACTTTTTCTGTCTTTTTCTTGCCATCACAATAAAGTTGCTCAAAAACTATAGTTCCTGCAAAATTAAAAAATATTTTTTACTATCCAAACGGATAAAATAATATCAAACTAGCAAGCCAAACAAAAAGGTACATACGCATATGAGATTTAAACAACTAAAAAGCATAATAAGAAATCTCCATCTCGATGATCTATGTTTAATAACAATCTTTACTAAAATAGTGACAAAAATAATAAACGTAACTAAGATATGTCGTCTTCTTCATCATATGTTTCATTCCTTTCCAAAGTAAGTGGGTCAATTTTTATTCCCGGCACACCTTCTCTAACCCATTTAATATCCTCTTCATTTTTAAATATAGTATCATCTAGCTGTTGTTCGGGCCACAATTCTATGTGCTCTTCCATTTGCTCATTTGCTGGTTTGTTTTCACCTATATTATAAAAACCTCTTGGTTTAATTTCAACTATAATCTGCCATTCTTTTACCATTGGATGATGGACATAAAACACCTGTTGAGCTTGAGAAGCAAAAATGAAAAGTTCATTTGACGGGTGCTGCCTTTTGTAGAGTAGCTGAGAAAAATTAACAAGGGTAAATCCATAATTATCTTCCACAATAAGCCCCTTGTTGTTGTCCACCCATTCGCATCTAAATAGTATAAACTTGAGGTTTGCGGTATAATACAACTCAATTATGTCCGTGAGAATTCCATAAAAGGTGACTTCTACTAATATGGGATTCATGTCTCTTGCGCTTGCATAGCTCTGAGTGGCAGCCTTTACCATAACTCCACTATTTTGTGTTTTTAGCTTTGCATCACGAGACTTTTAGTATCTAACTCCATTATTTATANATTGCAACATGGCATCGTCAACATCATCAGAATTCTTCCATTTTCTTTTCTTGGATTTGGCCGATAGATGTTTTCCGAATTTATTTTTAATACCTTTCAATTGCTTAAGAACTTCAATACCTGACAAACATTTAGGTGCTGCCTCTAACTCCTTAAAACCATCAAACGAAACTTTATCTTTTCGAAACTTGTGCCCATGGGATAACCAACGCATATGCGACATAAGCAATATTTTCGCCCATATTTCAATCTCAGAAATTTAGTCTTGGTCAGACAACATGGACAAGCATATCTAGTTTTCACACCATATCCTGATAAGTTACCTAGTGCTGGAAAATCACTGACTGTCCAAAGAAATGAAGCACGCATTTGAAACATATGATTCTTTGACGCATCATAAGTGTCAACACCAACCCACAATTCTTTTAACTCATCAATTAACGGTCGTAGATAGACATCAATATCGTTACCTGGTGCATGAGGGCCATCAATAATCATTGATAATATCATGTATGGTTGTTTTATGCACAACCAAGGTGGCAAGTTATATGGAACCAAGACAACTGGCCATGTGCTATGTGAGATAGACATAGACTTGAATGGATTAAATCCATCTGAAGCCAATCCAAGTCTAACATTTCGAGGATCTTGAGAAAAATCTTGATGCGATTCATCAAATTTTCTCCAAGCAATACTATCAGCAGGATACCGTATTACCCCGTCTTTAGTGCGACCTTCCGCATGCCATCTCATATCAGTAGATGTTTTAGATGACATGAATAATCTTTGAAGCCTCGGTATCAATGGGAAGTATCTAAACACCTTTGCTGGAATTTTTGAGGTTTCCAAACTACCAGATTCACCTACAAATTGTTTGTATCTTGGAGCTTTGCAAAACTTACAATCAGTTCGATCTTTTGTCTCACTCCAATGGATCATATAATCATTTGGACACGTATGTATTTTTTTGTATTCAAGTCCTAAATCTTTAATAATTCTTTTTGCATCATTAAAGGACTTAGGTAATATTTCAGGAAATACATCTTTTAACAACTCTAACAACATGGAAAATGAATTGTTACTCCACCCATTGAGACACTTTAAATGTAATAGACGAACAAGAAAAGAAAGAAGTGAATATTTGCTTCCAGGATATAATTCACGCTCAGCTTCTTTTAATAAGTTAAAAAACTTTTCAGTTTTCATATCAAATCCCACATTATGTTGATTTGACCCACCAAAACTATCACCACGAGTGTCCATATTAATAAAGTCACTAGTAGGAGGAACTCCAAAAGCATCATGCACCAAGCCTTGTATCTCATCACCTATATCTAATCTATCCACAGACATTGATGAAGATGATGTCTCACCATGAAAAATCCAATTAACGTAACTAGGTAGAAATCCATCAACCACAATATGTTCAACAATCAACTCTTTTGGGATAAATTTCATATTACGACACTTCCGACATGGACACAAGATTTCAGATGCATTAGGCCTATCTAATGAGGCAAAGTGAAGAAACCTTTTGACTCCATTCTTATATAGAGGATCATTCCTATTCAATATGTTTATCCAACTCTTATCCATTAAGAATAACCTATACATATAACAAAAAAATAAACTAAAAAAGAGTACTTATAGATAGAAACTAGAAAGAGTATATCACAGAATAAGAATATATATATTATAATTTATACTTTACTAATGACTATACAACTGTATTCATTTGGAGCATGGCAAAAAACATATCTAGTTTCCTTATTTTTTTCAAGAAAATCTTACAAACTAGTTCACTCTATCGCCACAATATTTAATATTTTATCATGACTAAGCATAATCAAACTATAGAATACCATAATTGACATCTTGAGTAAATATAACTTTTAAAAAATAAGTATCAAATTGATGTTTGATTGAACTTGATTTAGATCTATTTTAGATTGAACTAGTAAATGAGATCATACTAATCCAATCTTTTTAAATAGTACCATTATTTCTATACATAAAGTTTAAGTATTACAAACATACTTTGCAAGCAAACTTAAAGAGCCTAAAAACTAGGAAAGAAGAAACCTAGTAAGTATTTTTAGAACACAAAAATCACATATTTGAGATATGGAAAAAGCAAAACAAATTAAACAAATGCCCCAAAAAAATAAACTTTCTTCCATCCATCAATTTGTCAAACTCTGTCTCATCCCCAAATAAATTAGAGTTGCTTATAAAAATCTATGTCCATTGTGCTCGTTTATTATTTATCTGTTCTTTTATATATAAATCGATATACTATTTCTATGTTGGTCAAATAACCTACTCGACTCTCTTCTTTTATCATGTTAAAAAGACTAATATTCTTCAAAAATAAAATTTGAACAACTAAGAACAACAACAACAAACCCATTATAATCCTACTAGTGAGGTTTGGGGAGGAAAGTGTGTACGAAGATCTTACCCCTACCTAAAAGGTAGGGAGGTTGTTTTCGACAGACCCTCGGCTCAACGCAAGACATAACTATAATGAATAACCAATTAGTACTATTATTGAATAGGGAATCAACCCGCAAACTCAACAAAATGAACAAAGTATCCGATAATCAAGATACCAGAATCCAATTAAACTCTAAGCACAATCTATCACTAAATAATAAAATCTTTTGAAATGGATTAAACTATAATTACCCTAAAAAACCAAAACCAATCTAATAATCAATATCTAAAAGATATTTTGTATAAAATAACACAACTGTGTAGACAACAGAAACTTTTATTTGATAAAAAATAATATTAATATATTTATTAAAAACAGCAAAATGAGGTACTCCTCACAAAGATTAACACCAAACTTTCTCTCTCACACACACACACAATTGTAACGACCCGGCCGGTCGTTTCGAGAGTTATAACCCTGTTTTCCCCATTCCTATTTCTTTTTATGTCATTCAGCTATATTATGTTATATCGGGTTAGTTGGTTCAAGTCTGGAAGGAACTCGGGGTGAAACGAGACATTTAGTCTCATAATTAAAATTTTAAGTTAGAAAATAGACCGGATATGGACCTATATGTAAACGATCTCGGATTTAAATTTTGATGATTCCAATAGCTCCGTATGGTGATTTTGGGCTTAGGAGCATGTCCGAAATATTATTTGGAAGTCCGTAGAGGAATTAGGCTTGAAATGCCGAAAGTTTTATTTTGAGAAGTTTGACCGGGGGGTTGACTTTTTGATATAGGAGTCGGAATCCGATTCTAAAAATTGGAACACCTCTGTAATGTCATTTATGACTTGTGTGCAAAATTTGAGGCCAATCGAACGTGATTTGATAGGTTCCGGAGTTGTTTGTAGAAATTAGAAATTTTAAAGTTCATTAGGCTTGAATTGGGGTATAATTCAAGGTTTTAGCGTTGTTTGAGGTAATTTGAGGATTCAAATAAGTTCGTATGATGTTTTAGGATTTGTTGGTATATTTGGTTGAGGTCCCGAGGGCGTCGGGTGAGTTTCGGATAGTTAACGGATCAAAAATTAAACTAGAACAGATGCTGCAATTTCCTTTTGTTGGAAATTTGCTTCTGCCCAGCGATCGAACCCAACGATCGAGCCCAGCAATCGCCCAGCGATCAAGCCTGGAATCGAGGGCCACGATCGGAGACACGATCGAGCCCTGAATCGAGGGGCACGATCGAAGACATGATCGAGCCCAGGGTCGAGGGTCACGGTCGAAGGCCAGGATCAGAGGCATGATCGCAGGCCTAGGATCGAGAATCAGGATCGAAGGCCCAGGATCGAGGGCCAGGATCGAGGCCCAGGATCGAGGGCCAAGATTGAGGGCCAAGATCGAGGGCCAGGATCGAGGACCTCTATCGAAGACCGAGGATGTCTAGGCGGAATTATTAATAAAATAGGGACTTCGTCACATTCGCCATTTTTGGCAAATTGGAGCTTGAGGAGAGCCGTTTTTGGTATATTTTGAAGGAAAAACTTGAGGTAAGTCCCTTGTTATCATTTGTACTCCAAAATATTAAATTATCATCGAATAATCCGGCTAGATTACATGATTTTGAAGTGTAAATCGGAGATTGGAACTTAGAAATTTAGAAATATGATTTATACATTTGAGGGTCGAGTTGAGGTCGGATTTTGGTAAAATTGGTATGGGTAGACTCGTGATTGAAAGGGATTTCGAATTTTATAATTTTTGTCGGGTTCCGAGATGTGGGCCACACAGGCAATTTTTGAGCCAATTTCGAGTTTTGGTCTAATTTTGAAGCTTTTCTTGAGGAATTCATTCCATTAGCATATATTTATGATATTATACTGATTGTGAATAGATTTGGAGCATTTGGAGGCCGAGTCCAGAGGCAAGAGCATTGCGGGGTAGAGATTTGACCGGTTTGAGGTAAGTAACGATTGTAAATCTAGTCCTGAGGGTATGAAACCCCAGATTTTGTATCATTCTACTATTTTTAGTAACACACATGCTAGGTGACGGGCGTGTGGGCGTGCACTGTTGGGGATTTGTGACTTGGTCCGTCCCGTATCAACTGTAAAGTTTCATACTTTGTTGAAACCATTTGATACTTATATGTTTTAGAAAGAATTT